TGGGAGTTGAACACACACACTACGTACACACACAAAAACACACACACACAAACACAAAAACACACACACAAACACATACACAGTCATGTGTCACGATGACGCGACACATACGCGCACCTTAATTTTGTCACGGTGACATTATTTATATGTGAGTGTGTGTGTGTGTGTGTGTGTGGGGGGTGGGGTGTGTGTGTGTGTGTATAGGCCCACAACCGGAATCTCATCGGCCGACTTTTAAAGAAGCAGGCGGTGTACGCGTGGTGTGTGTGTGGGTGTGTGTGTGTGTGTGTTGTCATCATGACATAATTAGTGTGTGTGCAACATCATTATCATAGTATTGGTGTGTGTGTGTAACATCATTGCCATTTTATTAGTGTTTGTAGGTATATATATATATATATATATATATATATATATATATATATATATATATATATACATATACCCTGTAGAATCGTGTCCTCATCTTTACTGTTTGCCTTACAAGATCTACAGGATAAGCTTAGCTTGGATGATGAAGTTAAAGCTTCAGATTCAAAATGACTCTGGGATGCTTTAGCTGTGCCGGTTTCTTTTAGGACACAGTCAGGGAGCTGATAAGTGGAACAGCATTTTTCTACTCTTATCAGGCCGACATTTATTGTCAAGATAGCAATTAAGAGGTCAAGTTTTATCCTGTTTCTCCGGTTAGATTTGAAAAATTCACTCCAGATGAAAAACATATAGAAAAACATATACCATCTAAACGTCAAAAACGCCATCTAAATGCGAGGGAAACAGTTAAATCTGGATGTAAAAATATCCAAAGTGGCAACACAGATAAGCCAACAAAATGAATTTTAACGCGGCTGGCCCTGGCACAAAGCCAAAGTCTAAAAGAACTAATAGCCAGGACTTCTCGCTGGAGCTTATGGTCGGTGAACAAAGAAGAAGATAGTACTCTTGCATTTACCTGTGTTTTTAACCCTAGTATTTTCTCCACCTACGACTATTTCCTCAAATCCAAATACTGTTGATGTTCCTCAAAGTTAAATGGTTATCCGCTTTTGCTTTGAAGGGCAGTCTTGCAAAATCAACGGATCGCACTGCCTGGGCGTTTGTCTTTTTCTATAGCTATCAGTTCTTAGTACATTTTTTTTTTACACACAACCACATCTGCACAGTCTCCAGCACACACAAACATCTTCACACATAGAACACATATATACTCGCACGCACAACTACACACACACACACACACATAAATATATATTATAATTAGTCATTCCTACCATTAGCTTGGGCTACAATTCCTTTGCCTTTTTATAGTACAATATTACACTATCAGATCACCTATTCCATTCGTCCATTTTAGGATTAAATGTTTCGTTATTTGAAGCCCTAATCTGGCTTTTGCCAGGGGCCGCAATATAGCCTGGCCATAAATATGGCCTAAAGGCTGAACGCGGTTTCTAGGACCTCTCCACGGTGATGCTCATCCACATGGTGGCACATTGTGTCATTGGGTGTTTATCGCTTGTGTGATGTCCTGGTGTTGTAGAAAGTCAGTCGTCGTTATTATACTATCGTTTTTTTCATATCTCTTCCACACCCCCCCCCCCCCCCCAAACCACTCTCCTTTTTCCTGCATCTAATAACTAAGGTGGGGGAGGGGGGGGTCTAACAATTGGGGAGACTGCATCCTCAGATCGTAATCAAAATTTGACGTATGGCGATATATTGTAAATCTAGAACACGATATGCTTGAGCCTGATGTGTATTTGATTCCTAATAGCTTTTTGAATTTGTTACTAGTAATTGATAGGTTTTCTTTATATCTCATCCTCATTTGGTTATATCTTTTTCTTCGTTACATCCTCTTTTACCTCTTCGGGTGTCGAGGGAGATATAAGGTTCTAATTCGTGATTTTCTGGCTGCTTCGACCATATTCGTTCACATTATGGTGCTGTAGAGTTTCTCTACTCTTATCTTCCCATCTTGTTCTTGATCTGCGTTTCTCTCCTCTTTTGGTATATGCCTTGTATGGTATAGCACCAGAAGATATTCTTTCCAAGTGGACAAACCATTTGATTTGCTCTCTTTATATGTATTTTAGAACTGGTTCTGTTTCGACTTTATCTCGTATGACCTCACTCCTGATTTTATCTTTGCTGGTCACTCCTACATTGGAAAAAAGCTAAAGCAGAAAGCATGGTACCATGAAGGAGGGGTAGGGGCCGACGGGCACGAAGATGGGCACATGATATAAGTGACTCCTTGAGTATGAAAGAACTGGCGAGAGACCGTGTTTCTTTCAGGCAGACTGTGATGAGAGTGACGTTCTGCAAAGGACCTGCTACATGACGATGATGTTGGTCACTTCTAGAGTCTTTCTCAGACACCTCTTTTCCATGGTTACTAATTTTCTTTCATGTTTGTTCAAAGTGTTCATATCTGACACTGACAGCATAGGGGGAGGGTGTGGGGGTGGGGGGGGGGGTGGGGGGGGGGGGGGGGGGGGGGGGGTGGGGGGGGGGGGTGGGGTGTGGGGGGGGGGGTAGGGGAGGTGGGGGGGGGGGGGGGGAGAGAAGGGGATGGTGAGGGGGACTTTGGGGGGGGGGATGAGGGGGGAAGGGGGGGGGGGGGGAGGTATGGAGGGGGGGGGGGGGTGGGGGGGGGGGGGGTGGGGTGGGGGGGGGGGGGGGGAGGGGGGGGGGGGGGGGGGGGGGGGGGGGTTGGGGAAGGGGGGTGGTTGGGGGGGTGGGGGGGGGGTGGTGGGGGGTGGTGTGGTGGGGGGGGGGGGGGGGGGGGGCGGGGTGTTGTGGGAAGGGGGGGGGGGGGGGGTGGGGGGGTTGGGAGGGGGGGGTGGGGGTTGGGGTGGGTAAAGTTTCCCTTTTCACGCCTTGGGGTGGGGGGGGGGGCGTAATCGGGCATATGGGCAGAGTGTGGCAGGGGGGGGGGTGAGGTTGGTTGGTTTGGTGGTGTGGGGGGGGGGGGGGGGTGGGGGGGGGGGGGGGGGGGGGGGGGGGGGTGGGGGGGGGGGGGTGGGGGGGGGGGGGGTGGTTGGGTGTGGGGGTTGGGTGGGGGGGTTGGGGTTGGGGGGTTGTGTGTTGTGTGTGTTGGGGGTGTGGGGGGGGGGGGGGTGGGGTGGGGGGGGGGGGGGGGGGGTTTTACAGACCATCAGCACTCTGTTTGTAGTTGGTTTGGGTTTGCTGCCGGCTGTTTGGGGTTAACTGTTGTTGAGGGTGGGGTGTGGTGTGTTTTGGGTTGTTTTTGGTGGGTGTGCAATTGGGGGGGTTGGTTTGGTTGTTCGTTGTTGGGGTGTGTTGGTTTTGTGTGTGTTTGTTTGTTTGGGGTTGTGTGGGGGGGGTTGGTGTTGGGTGGGGGGGGGGGGTTTGTGTGTGTTGGCGGGAATGAATTATGTTCATTGTTTGTGTGTGTGTGTTTTTTTTTTTTTGTTTGTGTTTTTGTTTGTTTTGTTTGTTTACATAATATTTGTATGTGTTGTGTATGTGTGGGGGTGTTTAGGGTTGTGTTTTTGTGTTTGTGTTTGTGTGTTGTGGTTTATATATATATATATATGTGTTTTGTGTGTTTGTGTATATATATATTATATATGTGGTTTGTATATGTGTGTGTGTGTGTGTGTGTGTGCGCGTGCGCGCGTGTGTGTGGGTGTGTGCGCGGGCGCGCGGGCGGGCGGGTGGGGGGTGGGGTTGGTGGGTGGGTGGGGTGGTGGGTGGGTGGGTGGGTGGGTCGGTGTGTGTGTGTGGGTGGGTGGGTGGGGTGGGTGGGTGGGTGGGTGGGGGTGGGGGTTTCATTCATTGGGATTGGATTATGATGTAAAGGAAAAAAGGAGGAAAGGGGTTCTAGCTGTCCCAATACTTGGCCCGCTTCCCTGCATCGGATGTCAGTTTCTTCGTCCAGTTTACCATCGTCAGTTTAGAAATATACTTGTCTTTTACCTTAAAAAAAAAATTTTTACTGTTAGTTGTTTATTTTTGCAACTTGCTTTTCTAGCGCTTATCGCATAACAACAACAATATACTACGAGTATAATACTCGACTCGGCTTGTCTAAAAAGTATAAGTCGTTATTTGTATACATTTGATTATCTTGAAATATACACAGATCCAGTGTAATTATAGGTATATTACCTGTGAGTGTATTATTTGTTTGATAAATCTTGAATGAAAGCTTATATTATCGAAACATTTTTTTTTTTATTTGAATATGTTATTTGTTTGAACGTCTGAAGGAGATATCAATAATCGGGAAGATCAAAGGCGTGAAGCATAGGTCGACAGAGGAGAATTTTAGACAATGGCTGAGTATACTTATCAAGAACAGATGAGACATAGATTTGTCAAGTAACACTGCCACCTGCACTGCTTGACCTGGCATATGACGACGACAGATTACGTCTGATGCACACTCTGTCCTTGTTTTGGTTTTCTAATGAGAGCTTTTTGTCCTTCCAGATGCCACATTTGAATTATGTGGGGGGGGGGGGGGGGGGGGGGGGGGGGGAGGGGTTGCTATGGCAATGCTAGCCGTTTTTACTTGCAAGGACATTACCTGATACCTATTTTAAAGTAGGTCGATCTCGGTGGCTAATTCAATTTTAAAAGGAAATAAGAAGAGAAATTTAATATCAGTGCGGATTCAAACCAAAGAATTTCGGGTCAGTAGGTGTGTCTCTAAGCAGCACATTACCGCGGCTCCGTGGTTGACCCACCCAATAAAAGGCTACCGAGATGTGGCCATGGGAAATAAAGACCGTCACACGGCATCACAGTGCTCTACTACTGCCGATTGGTCGATGCATTTATGTCCCAAGGACGTGAAAATACGTTTGATTTAATTAATTTACTTTATTAATTTGCAACATGTTTTTTTTTTTTTTTGCAGCTCCAGCAATTGATTGTTAACGGAGATCTGCCCTGCTCGAAAGAAGAAGCCGCTACATTGGCTGGGATACAGCTGCACATCGAAGAGGCTTGGCCTGAGACAGACGACGATGATGACGACCACTATGCCAAGGATGACACCCCCAACCATCATCACAATAACTGTGGTAGTTCAACCAGCGGGCTTGGCTGGGGGAGTCGATGAATGCCTCGATCAGACGCGTTGCTTTCGTATCTACACGGACAGCGAGAAGCTGGAAAACCTTCGACATAAAAAGGAGCTGATTCGATCTCACAGGGCACAAAGGATCACGAGGTATGTACCCTTCTTGGAGACTGCTTTGAATTTTGAGCGGAAGGTTATCGTCAAGGCACTTGGAACACGTCCATCGGTGCTTTGATTCCCCCTCGATTTAAACATCATCCCTATGTGGGTTTCAGGGCCCTGATGTGGAGGGGGAAAAAATACCCACTGCCTCTCCAGTGAGTGTGAAATAAGAGTTGGTAAATCTAAAAATTTTGTAGACCAGAGTTTAGGGCATGTTTTCGAAACCCTCCTAATGTATCTCTCAAAGTGAGTTAAGACAAACAAAAAATTGAGATGAGACAAAATGACGTATTGAGTACGGATTGATCTAAGTAATACTCGGGACCCTTACCTTACAACCAGTATACATCGGGGAGTGAAGAAGTTTCCTCTACCTTTAATTCAATTGAAACTTTTTAAAAATTTACAATTTAAAATAGTCAACCCCTAACCTTTAATAGTGAAACATTAAAAAACAAAGAACGAAAAAGGGGTGGGGGGGGGGGGGGGGGGGTTAAGAATTAGCACCAAAAAAAAAATAAGTAAGCTCTCAGGTCAATTAGGAGTAAATGCTTTCTTTGGGAGATATTGTCATTTTGATATTTATGAATCATTTATCTATCAAACTGCAATTCGTTAACGATATTACTTGGAGACAAATGCACACTTTCAACTACCTAGGCACTTTTAGATACCAGATAACATCAGATACCACCACCCCCACACCATCATCACCACAACACAACTACTACTACTGCTGCTACTACTGATAATAATACAAATGATATTAATAATATTAATACAACTACTACTGCTGCTTCTGTTGCTGCTGTTCGTGCTACTACTGCTACTACTACCGCCTCCACCACCACAACTATTACCTTTTCTTCTCCTCATTTGCGTCCTTTCTCTTCTTCTATCCTCTTCATCATTTTTTTTTTTTTCCTTATTCTTCTGTCATTCGTCTTCCCGTATACCTAAAACCTCAAGCAACTCGCGCCACGCCATTTATGGCAGGTTGGATGTTGCCAAGGCATTTGTCGAGTGAATGACGTAGACGGTCACACGCCAGACCTCTTTGTTAGCCTCTTTACACATGCGTGCCATGTTACATTATTCTAAGCTTCCCTTGTTGGTACCGATTTTTCTAAGTACGAATTTAGCTACTACTGGAGATTAAAGTGTAGATATTAAAAGATCAACATCATGGCACACTGATGGTAACCCATAAATGCCCCGTATTTCTTCTAACTCAAGTCTGAGTCCGAAGAAGCTCAGCACAGTGTACAGGCTCTGTAGCACTGGCGAGGATTCTGAAACACTTAGTTTCTTTTTTTTTTTAAACTCCAAATTTTGCCTGGACAGCGCCGTTAGGCTACTCTTTTCTATTTCCAACTGCCAAGGGATTTTTTACGTGCACAACAATGTACGCGGGCGTCCGATCTCACTCCCAGAGACCAGGGGAATTACTAGAAGTACAAATCTACATGAAAAAAATCACAGCCCTTACCGGGGATTGAACCCGGAACCTCTAGCACTCGAGGCGGAACACACACAAAAATGTGATTATAGCTTATAGAAACGGTTTTGTTTAACAGAACCCGCATTTAGCCCGGGCTGTGGACTATTTAATTAAAACGCTAAAAAAGTGTTTACAGCAAGGGCAGGTAATTGGCATCCATGGAAACGTTCTGTTTATAAAAGTATGAATCAACACAATGCCTGATAGTAAACAACACAGGGAGATCTGTTGTCTTCGATCGCTTTTGATTACATATACAGATGGCTGCCAAATCGTGTATTTTCGTTCGTTCCTTTTTAACTTCATTACTTTCGCATATTCGTGTATCTATCTTCTTGTTTTCCGGGTATTCCTATAATCTCTTTCATTAACGTGGACAGTTGGACTTTTTGACATGTCTTTTATACTTTCGTAAAAGGATGTCTTTGCTTTTGCCAAGTTATATATTTTTATTTGCTCATTATCATTGTGATTACAAATGGCCTTGCAATTCGCATGCCTCTTTCTTCTGATAGTCGTAAAATGTATTTTATCTATAACACCCCCCACCCCTACCCTTCCCCTTTTTAAAAAAAAATCTACTGACATGTTTCTGACAACTTTAAATCTTCTAATTGAAAGTTTTAATTTCAGCACTATTCTCATGCCCTCCTTACCCGGTTTGAGAAAAAAGTACTGTTAAAAAACTTCAGAGTAGACATATGTGGTGGACATATTTCCATGGAGGAAAAAAAAACTAAAATACTTGACAGCTGAAAATTCTGATAGAAAGAGATCAAGGGAAAGAAAAAGAGTTAAACATCTAGATGTCTTGACCACATGACATCCCCGTGTGGGGTCCGGAAGGAGGTGGGGGTATGATGAATAGACCCACTGTCTCCCTAACCAGCATGTTGTACAAGGCGGCTAATTAGGGATCCCCCCTCCCCCCCCCCCCCCCCCCCCGAACTGATAGCGCATTTGCTTGAGCGGCAAGGAGTCAACATATGTGTACAAGTATGCCAGATCTGTTAAACAGATGTGCACTCAAAATTTGAGTTATTTAATAAGATTATACAAATTTAACAAAAAATGACAAAAGACCAAAACGTTTCGCCGGAGTTTACAACCGATGGACACAAAGAAGAGAAGAAGAACAAGACCACGCGACATGGACGAGACAAGAAGGTCGATCTATGATTAAATCAGTGATTTGGATGATCTTTTCAGAGCGCCAAAGTGATTACCTACACTTGCCGATGTGTCCCGTGGTCAGGATAACGTGCCAAAAAAAAATATTCTCACTATTGTCAGCTAGTTTTCTCTGATTTCACTAAGACAACAGCAGTTTAATACTTGACCTAATATAGTCGGGGTATGTGAATTGTATTTTTTCACCCTAGTGATATATGGGATACATGATAATGATTAGCACCTTTCCGACGTTCCAGACGATAGTGTTATATAAAGCTATGAAGAGGCATGGGACTCACAGCCCATGGCGATGGCGAGTGTGACTAGCAAGACCCGCCCGCTTTAAGAACAGTCTTCCACAATTATAGTGTGGGATTTCGGTACTGTTGGTGTCAACATCTGTGTTTATTCTGTTTCTTCTCAGACACCCAGCTCTCATCCTTTCTGCGATCATTTCTTCCTTCATTCTCATCCCCTTCATGATGTGCCCTCTCAACACGGTCCATGATATTTTGTTCCTACGGGTCCAGCTCAGTACCGATATCATTCATGTCCCGCTTGCACACATCTTTATATCGTAGTAGAGGTCGGCCTCTACATCTCCTATCCTTCTTTAATTCACCATAGTCCTTAGGGACTCTGCCATCCTTCATTCTCCAGGTGTGACTCAACCAGGTATATGAGGCTATATTCGGGATGGGTGGTCAACATCACGCCGATGACCGAATATAGTAAGAGTAATTTTTTAAGTTGATAATCTAGTCTGACCGCGAATAATGTTTTCAATATCCACTTAGTCCTTGGCAAGAAACAAGATGTCCTCGACCCCAGAATTAGTGACTTCCGTCTGCAGTCTTCACTAATCAGACACACCTTCACCCAGAACCTCCGTTAACCCTTGTCTGTATACATAAAGTAAGTAAAGTAAAGGACAACTTCAGGTGTATTGGACAAATAGGGCTAGACCTATATTTTATAGACCAATCGGCGCTCAGTGGAGATGGGGGTCAGCATCACGCCGGCCGCCTTTACTTCCTAGGGCTGCACCTGGTAACTACTCAGGCTTAGTCGACCTGAGAGCCACGGTCTTTTTTTTTTGAAAAAAAAAATTCCTTCTCTGACAGGAGCCAAACCCACGACCTTCCGACCCGCAGGCGAGCATCTAGCCGCTACACCATGGCGGCTCTTATATCACACTAAACCTCTGTTAGAATCAACGTTCAGCTGTATCCTTTTCTCAAACAGGATGCTTTCGAAAATATGTTAGTTTCTTCTAAATCTTCTTTATGTTCTCTCTTTTCCTGCAACGTTACACTAGATTGCATGCCTAAAATATATATTCTTTTTCTCACTTAACTTGGCGAGAAAAATCTTACAGGTGTATGCTTAATAAAGAGAAAGAAGAAAAAAACCAGACTTCTTTGTGATCGTAGTTGAACCAATAACTATATGAATACACTTACTACTATGGTATTCACATGAGTGTAGTTATATAGAAAGACGTCCATGGTCCTAATAGGAGAGGCTTTGAAGGTCCTAATAGCAACATCTTTCTGTGTGGTCTGATTCAAGTATAGTTCTTTCAAGACTATGTGAAGCTGTCGCACTAGCCAGTTCTATGTTGTTTTAAAATCAGGATCCCTGGCTGTGGAACTCCTGTGTTTGCCATGTGAGTCCGTTGTGTTTTATTCTGTAGAAATAACAGAACAATGTTAAATAAAAATATTCTTAAAAGCATACATACTGCTTATTTGATGTTTTCTGAGGGTCGTTTCCTGTTATTCGTGCATGAGAAAACGAAAAAGGGGGGGGGGGGGGGGGGGGGAGGGGCCAGAAAGAGAGAGAGCGCGAGACAGACAGACAAACATACGATAGAAAGTCAGACAGGCAAACTGAATACACGCATGAGCTTTATTTTGAGAAGATTACAAACCGGGTAAGCATCATGTACTGCGTTCTTTACCTTATATTCGACCCTTTCAAACACTTATCTTTCGCACGTACGCATACACACACACACACACACACACACACACACACACACACACACACGTACACATACACGCACACAAACGCACACACATAAACACTTACACGCGCGCGCACAGAGGAAGACAGAGTAGTAGTAGTACGGTTTACCCTACTAGGACATCACACAAGCGAGAAACACCCGATGACACAAAGTCCCACCATGTGGATGAGGATCACCCGTGGAGAGGTCCCAGAAACCACGTTCAACCATTAGACCATATTTATGGGCTATATTGCGGCCCCTGACAAGAGCCATAGTAGGGCTTAAAATAACGAAAAATTGCATCCCACAAAGGGATGACAAGCTAGAGAGACAGTCGGACATTGATTGGGACAGTTAGATAGATGATGTCTTTGAGATGTGCTTCTTTATACAGCCAGTATTTCTTGTATAATAATTACTACCTTTAGATTTCAAGTCTCAAATGTTTTCTGATTGGTAGGATTTAATAACAGCTGCAATGTTGTACAGCGTTCAGCTTCACTATTTCAAACTAAAACGAACTCTAAAGGTACGAGAGAAGAGTTACATTAGTAATAAATCAATGTTTGATGCACGGTTCTTGGTACCCAAGGTTGCAAATCTTCCCGCTTCGAAGATTAAACCACCAGCCATTCACAGACTGTCATGCTGGGATTCACCATTTAACTAACTTCTATTAAAATAGTGTTAATTAGGTGTCTGTTTACATGGATGTGTTAGTTAAGTACTAGACTTGTTTACATGGTACACAGAAGACGTTCAGGTGTATACCGCGTGAAAAGAATGAAGAAGGGCTCCATTTGTTGTCATTAGGTGCGATTGGTATCTGAGGCTTGATTCATATTTGTTAAACCAACAACACTCGATTAATGATCAGATCTATATCACATATTTGCTTACAAATGACTGATACATAAAGTGACTTGACTTAGGATTAGGTTTGGAAACATTATTTCTGACTTGGTGGCATTGACCTGGGACTTGACTTGAGACGTGATGGCCTTGTCATGGGACTCGACTTAAGACGTGGTGGCTATGACCTGGAACTCGACTTGAGACTTAGTGGTAATGACCTGTGACTCGACTTAAGACATAGTGGCAATGACCTGGGACTGGACTTGAGACGTGGTGGCTATGACCTGGGACTCGACTTGAGACATAGTGGCAATGACCTGCGACTAGACTTGAGACATGGTGGCAATGACCTGGGACTCGACGAGACATAGTGGCTATGACCTGGGACTCGACTTGAGACATAGTGGCTATGACCTGGAACTCGACTTGAGACATAGTGACTATGACCTGGGACTCGACTTGAGACTTGGTGGCAATGACCTAGGACTCGACTTAACACGTAGGGGCAATGACCTGTGACTCGACTTTAGACCTGGTGGCAATGACCTGGTACCCGACTTAAGGCAGGTGGCAGCGACTTGATTATTGACTTGAGACGTGGTGGCAATGACCTGGAACTCGACCTGAGACCTGGTGGCAATGACATGCGACTCGACTTGGATTTGAAGGGTGACGACTTCGTCCAACCGCTGGTAATTTGAGGCTGTGCAATTTCAAGAGCCTGTGTCGGCGAAGAAATATCCCTACCACGAAGGGGGTGCGACAAATGACCACCAACAGGCAAACGTACTAGGCACTGAGCTCTTTGGGGTTTCTGAAATCAGGTTCTGCCCAGAAATGTCGTGCCGCCAGATGTTGTGTCGGTAAATATAACAACGATGATCAAAGTCCAACTAGAAGACGAAGAATATGTTAAGTTTATTGTAATACGGTATTTCAGTAAATAAGTGTGCTGTTTCCAAAATTAAGATGGCGTAATGAATACTCCAACACTATGTCTTTCATTTGGTCGCACATTCTAACAGACTTTTCTCTATCTCTTGTCGTTGTCTCGACACTTATTTATATTGTTGTCTCTCTCTCTTCCTTTGTTCGATTTTCACTTTACCCTCATCTTTTTTTTTTTTTTAAACAAGTGTCAGATAGTTTAAAGAAGTAATTAAAGTAAAGGACCTTTCCGCGCTAGTGGCGCAAGGGACATGTGATTCTAGATAAGTACTAGATGTATTTACACTGAACACGTTCAGGCATATATAGTGTGAAAAGAATATGGAATGGCTATATTCCATGCCATTAGATGCGATAGGTATATGATCTTTTTAAATAAGTATTTCAGATCGTTCAAAGATGTAGGTAAAATAAAAAAACATTTCGCACTAGAATCATATATTTTATAGACTAGACTATTTACTACAATTGTTCCGTTATTCCATTATTATCACAAACCTTATCTGCTGAATGTTCCTTTGGGCGTAATGAAGATTGATTGACTTTCCTAAACCTTTATGGGTGATGTGGCAAATATCACACCATCAACCTTTAATAACCCGTTTAATGACACCAAAATAGTGTATTAATGCTTTCTTTTATTTCTTCCACCAGTCGCTGTCTATGTCCAGTTACTACTGATTTCCAAATAATGATAATGAAAGTCGCAGCTGTCCCAACACTTGTTCTCTCTCTCTGGTTATAATTGTTGCTCATCATAAATTCGGCTTATATTACCGTTAAATTGTTCTCCTTTTGCTCAACTTCGCCTGTCTTTGAGATTTCCTGCCAATACTTTGTTTTGGTAACTAAAGGAAATTTTTTTTTAAAAAGTTTATTATGGCATTACAGTTAGTTGCGTATCCTTCACAGGTTGTTGCAGAACCAGACCCAGCATTTGTTGGATGTTGTGGTTTTTCTAAGCGAATTTCACGTCCAGTAGTTTGCCACTGCTTACAGAACGATCAGCGCTGAGTACCACTGTCGAAACGAACGCAAGACGAATCATCCGCAGCTGGGATCGAACTCGACACCCCAGCATTACGAAGCGCGTTCAAAACGCCTAAGCCACAAACGCGAACTTATGGCTTTAGACCTGTTAAAAATAATTCTTAAGGTTTTCAGTTTTTATAATTTAGTATTCCTGTAACATGTTTAATTTTCTTTGATTGATGTCGTAATTCTCCTTCAAATGCTAAATTATGTGACTTATTATTTGTAGCACTCGTCGCAGCACCAAGATAGCACGGACCCTACTCTGCACCAATGACAATGACTGGCAGCCTAGAGAGACGCTAGATCTCAGCAGATTTCTTCCTCCACATTATATAGCATCCAAGAAAGTTCGGGAATTGATCGAGGTAAGACAGACAGACAGACAGACAGACAGACAGACAGACAGACAGACAGACAGACAGACAGACAGACAGACAGACAGACAGACAGACAGACAGACAGACAGACAGACAGACAGACAGACAGACAGACAGACAGACAGACAGACAGACAGACAGACAGACAGACAGACAGACAGACAGACAGACAGACAGACAGACAGACAGACAGACAGACAGACAGACAGACAGACAGACAGACAGACAGACAGACAGACAGACAGACAGACAGACAGACAGACAGACAGACAGACAGACAGACAGACAGACAGGCAGGCAGGCAGGCAGGCAGGCAGGCAGGCAGGCAGGCAGGCAGGCAGGCAGTTGGATGGGTGGGTGGAAGGAAGGAAGAAAGGAAGGACAGACGGATGGTTAAGTGGATGGATAGATAGCCAGATAGATGGATAAACAGATGGATAAACAGACAGACAGATAGATATATAGAAATGGAGAAAGAAAGAAACCAAAGAATCAAAATACTTTGTGTACCTGTAATCAATATATCAACATAAAATATTTTGCCATATGCTTTGAGATTTGTGTCTTCCACAGATCTCAGCCATTGTTGCTCTCACTCAGTTCCGTTGACGATATTCCTTCATTACTGTCTTGAACCACCTAAAATAATATAATTTGCTTGGTCTGTCTGTACCACTTCTGTCAATGATCTTTTTCATTGTTGTGATGTTTTCACTGCATCTTTTCTCATCACATGTCTCAGTAACAATGTTTGTCCGGGCTTATAATTGGGAGTCTTCTGATCGTATTAAACTTTTCTTGATACCCGAAGATCTTCTGGCAATCCAAGGCATTACCAGCATACTCCTCAGAAACTACATCTTACTTGTTTCTGAGCTCTCCCTGATGAGTTTATTTAAACTGCACATTAACTGTCAAAAAGCAGAGCAGACCTCGTGTAGTATTTCAGTATACTCATCAGCATCCTTTGTGTAACATTGCTGTCATCAGCATCCTTTGTGTAACATTGCTGTCATCAGCATCCTTTGTATAACATTGCTGTCATCAGCATCATTTGTGTAACATTGCTGTCATCAGCATCCTTTGTGTAACATTGCTGTCATCAGCATCCTTTGTGTAACATTGCTGTCATCAGCATCCTTTGTATAACATTGCTGTCATCAGCATCCTTTGTGTAACATTGCTGTCATCAGCATCCTTTGTGTAACATTGCTGTCATCAGCATCCTTTGTGTAACATTGCACTAATTAACATCTTGTATAGAACATTGCTCTCATCAGCCTGCTTTGTAGAACATTACTCTCATCAGCATTCTTTGTAGAACATTGCTCTCCTTGGTATCTTTTTTAGAACATTGCTCTCATCAGAGACGGCTTAACAGCTTTCACATGCGATGCTTAAAAAGAATACTTGGCATTAAGTGGCAGGACAAAATCACAAACACTGAGGTACTGGAAAGAGCAGGTACTACAACAGTCTTTTCCATGCTCAGTCTACGAAGTTCAGGTGGCTAGGTCACACCTGGAGAATGGAGGATGGCAGAGTCCCTAAGGACATCCTGTATGGTGAATTAAAGACAGGAAGAAGATGTTGAGGCCGACCTCTACTACGCTCTAAAGATGTATGCAAGCGGGACATGAATGATACAGGTATTGAGGCGGACTCATGGGAACAAAATGCCATGGACCGTGTTGTGTGGAAAAGGCATATCAGGAAGAGAATGAGACTGAAGGAAGAAATAATTGCAGAAAGGATGATAGCTAGGCGTCTGAAAAGAAACGGATTAAACACAAATGTTGTTAACAATGGTCTCCAAATCTCATGCTTTCATTGTGGAAAACTTTTCTTGACACTGGCAGGTCTTGCTAGTCACACTCCTCACCATCGCCATGGGCTGTGAGTCCCATGCCTCCTCATAGCGCAACATTACACTATCGTATGGAAAGACGGAAAGGTGCCAATGAAAGGTGCCAATGAAGCTCTCATCAGCATCCTTTGTAGAACATTACTCTCTTTTGTGTAACATTGCTCTCATCAGCATCCTTTTTCAGAATACTTGCTGTCACCAACATTCTTTGTGTAACATTGCTCTCATCAGCATCCTTTTTCAGAATACTTGCTGTCATCAGAATCTTTTCAGAAGAATTGCTGTCATCTGTTTTCTGTGTGTAAAATGCTCACATCAGCGTCCTTTGTTGAACAGTTTCTGTGATCAGCATCCTTTTCAGAACAATTGATGTCATCAACATCCTTTGTAGAACATTGCTCTCACACCATATACTCCAGACCACTCACTACACTTGTTTCACAGTCACACCTTAGAAGTGATAACCTAATTATTCCTATTATGCAATAAATATTAAATGATGACTGTTTATTTATTGAAATTAACTAGTTCATTATCTGTTTATACAGGACAAACAGAAGAAATTATGGCATACACCACATTACGAGAATGAAGTGAAACTGAAACAATTGTACATCAAAATCTGCAAAAATCTGCCAACATATGGGTGCAAACTGTTTCAGGTGAAGGAAATCCTCAGGGGAAACACTCAGAAGAAGGTCAGCAGATGCAAGGAAATGTTCAATAAATTGATATTCATGCCATGAATGTCAGTAATAGATGTAGATCTTAGTGCTGCGCTGCAATCACTTAACATTTATTCTTCAACATTTCTTTTCTTTTTCTGTCTTGTATAGTAATTGTTTTATTATTTGCAAAGTCACAAACTAAAGAAAATATTTTGTGTATTTAGATTATTGTTTTCACTTTCAGAACTATATCTTTTAATTGATATATTTGTTTCCCTTTTATTGTAAAAGTAATTTTCTATAAAACTGGTGTTCTTCTTCTTCTACTTGTACTTCTGCTTCTTCTTCTGCTTTTACTTCTGCTTCTCCTTCTGCTTCTTCAGCTTATCCTTTCCAAATAAACTTAATAATAGATTGGTTAATGCACAAATAGAACCTTGATGGTCTATATGCTTATTTTACAGTTCAACACCAATTTCTTGCTCTAATCAAAATCTACCAGTTTTTAGACATCTTGTTTTCCTTGTCATTATTATCCTAATTCTTGAAACTGTATAAAATTAATTTCAGAAACAGATAACTATACTGTGAATGTTTGAACTGAATAAGGAAGCAAGCCTTTTTTTTTCTAGGAAAGAGCAGTGAAGTAACTGATGATTCAGAAAATTATAAAACAGTACAATCCTTTTACAAGCTGAAAATGTCAACGGTGGCATGCTGACATGCTCCTATTTTGTGTGACCAGCTAGCACCTAAAGAATTGAGGTGGTCTTTTTCTACTTCTCATCATTCACCTTCTATAAACTCTGGAGGAAGTGCTAGAATTTCATCCACTTCAGGATGTTGGTATTGTTCCAAAATTTGAATTTTTGCATGCATATCCATTTTACAGATCTGGCTTGTTTATATGCAGACTGATGGTTCCTTGCGTCTTAGGAAAATGCACTCCGACTAGGAAGAAAACACCGATTGTATGACATGCTTGTTGCGGGAGAAGGGGAGGGTGTAGTCAACCCCACCCTCTAAGAAAAGAAAATAAAGACCTGAAAACCACTCAAGGAAACTGTGGTCATTATTACATCTAGAAAGAAAAGACAGACATAATGTATGGTGTACAGAAGTGGTGAAAAAATAACATACACTTTCATGAAAAACAGAGAGCAAAAGAAACAGAAGAAAACAAAACTGTGTGTGGGATAATGTAAAAAGGAAGGTAACCAATATGAACATAAGCAACTTAGCTTCTTTCAAAAATTAGATGACACAATGGAGTAAAAAGGTATGATCACAAGTATCTGCTCTAGACTAGCAAAAGATACTGGAAGGGGGAAAAAAGAAAATAGAAAACAATATAATGCTACATTCCACTGTTTGCTGTTATCCAGAATTTCTGGTACTCATTTCTGGGACCAATGCAGTGAGATAATATTAATTTGGGATGCTGAAGTGCTGAACCACACATCTGAAGTAATGGTTAGCATGCTCAGGGGTCCTCCTGGTCAGGATCTGTCTACACTTCTGCTTTGTCAATTTAGAATAAATCTGCCTGTAAGGCAAGGAACCAGTAGTCTGCACGTAAATACACTAGATCTGTAAAACAGATGTGCATGCAAAACTCAAGTCCTGGAATAAAACCAAAGTCTAGGAGTGGATGATCAACCCTGGGAGTTTATAGGAGGGGAAGCTAATGAAAAGACTAAGAAAAACAAACTGTTATAATTAGAATTTTTGGCTTAGAAAATGTATGTCATAAAATCTGATAAATTTCAGTTACATATGTTGAAATATGATCATTTCTGCTCACAGGTTTCACGTCTGCTAGCCATCTCCAGCGAAAAAATAATGTTGCTGGACACAAAAACACAAGTGCCAGCAAAAACCCAACAGCTGAAGGACATGGAAGATTGGTTGTCTGGTGCTGGTAAAGCTCATGACAGTTTGGTTTTGGAATTCAGAGGCACAAAACCCTGGACACTGGCTATGCCATCTGTAGACTGTCTCAAATCTGTGACGGCAGCGATTTGGGAGGCTCTAGACATGGATGGTCGGTTTCTCAACAATGGCGCATTGCAGAGAGATAGCTTTGAATTTGGTATGTAGTTTATGAACCATTTTTAACTATTTTAATATGAGTCTACTCTCCATGCATTTACTGATTACTTTCTGCAAGCTATATGTTGGCCAACTTCCTCTACCCCATTTGTTGTTACTTTAGTTCTGTCTATCGCACTGATTACTTTAATTCATTCAGCTGCAAGTGCTATTATTATGGTTCACTGAGACTCAAAGTCGCTGTAAAAAAAATAAAACCTGAGATAGAAAATACCAATTCTTCTTCTTTATGGAATTCACCGGCTGTAAACTCTAGCAGAAATTTCTTGTTGTTTTAGATAATATTAATGTTTTATGCTGAACTAATTCATCATTATCAAATGCCTTAAAGAAGGCACAGGTGATCATGTCTCTCTGCAACCTGCAATCTCTAACAGCATGTATGTTCATGCACTGACACCTCTCTGTGTCATGACAAAAAGCTGTCAAGAACCATTCATTTTTCTGATCTTGTAAGAGGCCAATCAGTCAACATCATAAGATTATTTAAACACATCTCCTTGACCCAGAGGCAGACATCACATTGGTTTCACTAATCAAAATGTAATTAATAAAAACAATTTAAAAAAACAAGATGATAGCTTAGTGGAAAGAGCTTTTGCTTATCATGAAAAAGGTCTCGGTTCTATTCCCAGTAGATTAATTTATTTCAACCAGCACCCACCCCTTTAGAGTTCGCAGAGTCTAATAAATTTGGATAATTTTTAGAATTTTTGGGGGATTGTCTGAGAAGGAAATAAGTGAAGAAAATCCCCGGTTCCTTCTCCATTATGCAGGGGTCTAGAATATATGATCCTTACACTTGAATCCAAACACATCAAACTTCAATCCAAACACCTTAGACTTCAGTCCAGACACCTAACACTTCAATCCAAACATGAGTTTATAGCATAGGAATATAATAATTTTATTATGTTTAAAAGATCTATATTATTTAGAAAAGGAATATAAAGTGAAGCTAACATTTTCTGCTCTAACACAGATTACCAAAGGCGACAGTTGACTCCAAGACCTGAGCTAGAGCCACTAAGCAAATACACTGATGAGCTGGACACACTCAGAAAGTTGTTGCATTTTCCAGAAGAAGTGGCAATGTTGTTAACGGATGCAGAGCATCAGCTCTTCACCAGTGTTCCACCTCAGCACTATGTCAGGCATGTTACCATGGAGCTGTCTCGGCCCCTGCTGCAGAAAACCCAGCCATCAATAGAGCAGCTTATTCAAAGGTTTAATGAGGTTAGTCCTGTTTGCTTTTCCACAAGCAGCAAGCACTCAACATTGCTAGCATTCTCATAAGTTCAATTCGGGTATTTCGTGGTAGATACTAAATACATAAAACTACTTGCATCTACATGAGCAAACTTAGGGTGTTTCATACCTAACACTGTGGGAGGCAATAATTACAAGACAGAACCTATAGATATACCGCTTCCTTGACACTTTCAGTCCCAAGGATTGTGTAATGTGTCTCCTCCGCACTTAATCTCTTTTGAGCAGATTCAACACTAGCTCTGTTGTCTAGGTGTTACTGCTCTTCTCTCCATCTGCTATACAACTTTCAATGACAGTTGATGACAGTTGATGCACTTCACAGGTTTATTGTCAATGCAACACAAAAACCAACAGTATAACTAATCACTTACTCTTAGGATTCTTACCCAGATCCACGTGTACACGTGATTCTGAATTCAACTTCACGTCCTTTCAATCACCGAATGACCACCTCATTCCCAATCCCACAGATCTCGCATTCAAATGCGACTTGCTCAGTTCTGTCTTTTCACCATCTCCATGTGAAACCCATGCTATCAGGGACTTCCCCAATTCTGTCAGTCATACCCTGACGCTATCCCTATTTATAGCATGATTACAGATTGCATCATATGTTTATAGCTTCCTACATAAAAAGCCAAAAAACGCCAGATGTGCTGTCTATATGTTTCTCTTTATGATCCTTGAAGACTCTAATGTTAAATCTCCTGGTAATGAAAGCAAGAGATAGGGGCCAATTACATATCCCTTGTAATAAATGAATATCTTGTCAGGGTACTTCAGAGTCACACTTTCAACATAAGATGTAAAAACACATATTACATGATGATTGTTAAACATGAATAATAACACCTATTTACACATGGAGCATTGGTTGGGACCCAAGTGAATTAATTATTGTTGAATTCACATAACATATTCAGAAATACAGATAGAAGCATCTTTTGAACCACAGGGAAGAAGAAATTCCCAACTATAAAAGTGCAGCCCTTTGGCATACAAATAAACCAGATTCTCAAATCTGTAAAATTCTTTGTCATGCTTATGGTTTCATTTCTTCTCATTATTTTAAAAGGTCAGACAAATATGGGGCCAGCTCAGTGCAAATGTATAAACTTTCTGCCTGCAGCAAGGACACATACACTGTGAGATTAAGAAACAAATAGGTATTTGATACGTACACCAGTGTTCCTCAACTTTTTTTCACCCGTGGCCCACCCGACTTTTTCATGGCCCACCAATGGGCTATAGCTCAGGAACTGAGGAATGCTGATTTATACCATGTAAGATGATATGCTACAGTCATCAAGTCTGATTGTAGGGTTACAATAAATTGTTCAAAGCAGCATTTAGACATATGCCACATTGTATGAGATTAGTGAATGATGAAACACTGATTTAAAAAAAAAAGGAAGCAGGAGATCAGGCTTCTCTTTGAATCAAATGCTGTTAACATCAGTTCATGTAAGCATATAGTAATCCCTTTGTGGAGCAGACAGTAATACCTGTCACTTGCATTGTATCCAGTATATATGAGCTTTTCTTCCAAAGTTAATGGAATAGTCAACTCATGTTGAATTAGTCATTATGACATGAAGATTGTAGTCTGTAAGTTGATAGTGACCTTGATGAAATGACATGGCTGACTGACTGACTGATATTCAACCCTACCAGAACTGCACAATGAGCAACAAACACCTGGTGACACAAGAATCATCCAGACACAAGTGTCATAAAAACTGTTTAACATGTAGGTTATATTTAGAGCCCTAGATGACAGCCAGGGTGGGGATTAAAAAACAAAAAATTCCCTCCCACTTTTAGCATATTCTTTAACATGGCTGGCAAGCATTATTTTCACTTTTTCTTAAAAAGAAGTTACTAGAAGTTGGTTTGTGTCTTATACACATAGCATAGTCAGAGTTTGAAATGTCCAAGCTGGAAGCTAAAATCGTTTTGTAAACGTCTGTCCCAGTATTTACTTAAATCCCATAGCTGTTGGCAAGTACTTAAACCCATAGCTGTTGGCAAGTACTTGAACCCATAGCTGTTGGCAAGTACTTGAACCCATAGCTGTTGGCAAAGTACTTGAACCCATAGCTGTTTTCAACTACTTAAACTCGTATTTGATAACAATTATTCAACTGCAAAAATATCTTTGCATGCGATGTTAGATGAATTATCTCCCTTGAGTCATGTTTAACACACACACAAATACATTTTCCTGTCACTGGCGCATCAGACATATGATGCTAGGCTGATATTTTCATAGAATAAATATAAAGAACTAAATAAAGATCCCTGAGAGTGAGTAAACAGTGCAATGGTACAAATAGATCATCACAGTCTGAAGGGAATGGTGTGTGCAAGCAATGATCAGGAGATCTGGCCGACACTCAACACTCAGGGAAGTGGTGAGACAGACAAAAACTCAGACAGTTACTTGCTTCTGAAGATGGGGATGGAATGCTTATGGGACAGTCCTGAGTACTATAATGTCAGTTCTTAACTCATAACCTTTATTGACAAATAGGCAATCAGTAATTCATGTGATCAACATTTATACCCCACCTCTACCTCCCAGTAAATTTCAATAATCCAGAGGAGAAGACAGTGTGTTATGGGTGAATTTTGTATTCTATCTGAGCAGGTCAGTTCATGGGTTACCCAGCTGATTGTCACTCAAGCCACACATGATGATAGAAAGGCGGTCCTGTCCTGCATCCTCAGACTGGCTGTTTACTGTTGTGTACTAGGCAACTTTAACTCTGCTGTAGAAATACTCTGTGGCTTGAGGTTAGATCACAAACATGCAGTTTTTCATTTTACTTTTTTAATATTATTGTTGTTGTTAGTATTATGCCATTCATACTATTATTGGTCTGTTCAAGTCAAAATGGATGATGGACACAGTCACTGTTCTTAGTCGTGGCAAATTTTCATTCTGACATTTGTGGACTGAATGGATATAGTTTTCTCGCCCAGCTGAGTTGAGTGCATGGTGCAACACTCTGAGCTGCAGATTTCATTTGGAATCTTTTTCACCTGTGATCAATGTGAGGTTGTGAAGTGTATATTTGGAAAATGGTACATGGGCTGTTGCCATATATTGGTGGTGTCTTATATGATTAAAATTGATCGCATGTGCGACTGCTGATCTGTTTGTAACTGCTGCTTCCATCAATGATGAACGCCTAATGAATGCCTGTTTCTGTTAGCACTTCTGATAGCTGCCATATGCTTTTAATGTATGCAAGTGGATATTTGAATATTAGGAAAATGAAAGTAATGGTTACATCAAAGAAGAAGATAACTCCACGTTGTGATATCTTAATTGAAGAAAAAAGACTTAACCAAGTCAATAAATTCAAATATCTGGGAACAATCATATCATCAGATGGAAAGTGTGTGACAAAGATTAAAAGCAGAAAATGAAAAATATCTTATGCAATAAATCACTCTCATTTAATCAGAAAGAGGGTGCTAAAATGCTACATAGAACCTGTTCTGTGGTATGGCAGCGAATCTTGGAACAAATTAAGAAGAATTTGGAAACAACAGAGATGTGGTTTTTGAGACGAATGTTACGAATACCTCGGAGAGCCAGAGTAACTAACAATGATTGCTTGAAAGAAGCTAATGAAAGTAGATCTCTATATACAACAATAAGAAAAAGAAAAACACTATTCTTCAGCCACATAAGGAGAAGAGAGACATTGGAGAACATCGTGAAAACTGGAAAGATTAGTGGAAAAAGGGGTAGAGGCAGACCAAGAGAGATGATGCTGGATGGGCTGAAATGATGGCATGGAGGGATATCATCAAGAGAGCTGTTCCAGACAACCAGGAATCGTGATCTGCGGAGACGCAAGATAGTGGATATACCGAGACTGAAGTATGTGTCAGTTTTTCCACAAGGGACAGTGATTGACATTCTGTAAATATTTTTCATTGGCACAGGAGCGGAACAGCTATGGGCTGACCCATTTTGCTATGAAGATGTATCTAAGATTACCAAGAAAAGCAAAATTGGTCTCTACAAAGAGAATTGTTGAGGCTGAAATATAAAAATAAGATGCTCAAGACCAAATTTTGCTAAACATCGGGATTTACTAAGGCAGGATCATACATATCATTGAGAGAAACAGAAAAATGAACTAGTTTTAAATAAGTGTAAAATATGCAGAGCAGTTTGCAATGGTAAGCAGTACCTGTCCTTCCCCAACCCCGTTTTTCTATGCACTATATTTTTTCTAGGGCTACTTCAATTAGCAGTTTGTAAGGTTAGTTAGAAAAATTGTGGAGAGTACCGCCACCATTTTTTTCTTTCTAGGAAAAAGCTGTGAAAATAGGCATTTGTTTAGATGAAGACTGTCTTAATTTTGAATTGATTCCACATGCTGAGAGAGGAAATACAATCTAGAATACAATCTGAAATAAAGTGTACTGTGCCCTTCAACAACTGCTACAGTCAGAGTCTCTATTTTGCAACATCGAGATCAAAATGTATAAGATGTTGATAAGACCAGTCATGTTATAAGGCTCTTGAACTTGGAGCACAGCTAAGAGAGATTACATATTTTTGAAAACAGTCTTATGACAAATTTTTGGACCCATCAAAGATGCAAACAGTAGGGAATGGAGAGTGAGAAGCAACAATAAAATCATAATCTGTTTAAATCTCCATAGATCACTGGCATCTGCGAGCTAACAGGCTAAAATGGCTGGGGCATATTGAGAGAATTTAAGATGACAGAGACGTAAAAACTGTACATAGTTGGGAGGTGAATGGTCTTAGATAATGAGGCAGACCAAAAAGACGATGGAGAGATAAAATCCAGACAGACATACAAACATGTGGTGTCACTAACTGGAAAGAGAAGGCCAACTAAAGAATGAATGAACTTTTATTTTCAGAGGGTCACAAATTGGGCACGCAGGCCCATCTTACATTCGACCCTTCGAAACACCGTCTTTCATACAGCAGATGTATTTTATCAATAAGCATGTTATATTCATGTTCCATAAGTTAGACAGTAAACTAATCAAAAGTTTTTTAACTTTAAAATTGGGAGCCCTGTTATACGAGGAATGTCTTTATTTATTTCTTAATTTTGGGCTCACAAAATAGGGGTCATTTTATACGTCAGAGTGTCTTATACATGGACAACATATGGTAAATTGAATTTACTGCTGAGATTATTGTGCAAGTACAGTTAGAATAAGGTTTTTTTCTCTGATATTATCAAATTATTTTATCTTAAAATTTAGATCAGAGAAACTGAAACCTTTCTGGCTGTCCATTGAGGATGAAGATCTTTCAACATTACATTCCTTGTCAGACATGTTACTTTCTCGAGATTTATCACCAAAATATCGAGAGGCCATCAACCGTGCACTGGATATCCCAGAATGTAAAGTTGTTCCATTTTTTGGTAGTTTTCTTCGAGAGCTGAAAAGTATTTTTGTCGGGGTGCCAAGCATCATTGTTCTGCCTTCAGAAGAGAACCAGTCTTTGGAGGTATGTTCTTGTTTTTTCACCAGTAAATATTTCTGAATACATGTGGAAACTGAAAATAGCAAACAATCAAGGTGTGATCTGGACTCCACTAACATTTTGTCTGTATCACACTTACTGTTACAGCCATTCATTTATACATTCTATTCATATTTACAGAATTCAAAAATAATAAAATCAATTATATACTCAGTGTTTAACTCAGCAACAAGATTCATTATATTTCTCTGCAAATCATTAAATTGGCTGCAAACGTTCAACATTGTTGCCCACTTTTGTGAACCTTTTATCTTTTACTTTATATATTCAGCAACAATAAATAAGTTATTGTAAAACATAAAATAATGAGCAATATCAAAATAATCATTACATATACCCCAGTCTAATTAATGCTGAGAAAAGCAAGATTCTGGTAAATAGTCACAATAATCAAATACCTACCAGCATACAGATAAAAGGAGAAAAAAACTGGAAGAAGTTGAAATTTTTAAATATCTTGGTGCTCACATATGTAATGATGGTAGCTGTACCAAAGAGATCAAGACAAGACTTGATATGGCAACAGCAGCGATGTCTCAGCTGAATAGGATGTGGAAGAGCAAAGTCAGCATCGCAGTCAAGGTCAATATTTACAAATCACTGGTATTGTCTATTTTCTTATATAAATATAAGAGTTGGGCTCTCACTGAGGAAATGGAAAGGAGGATTCAGGCTTTCAAATGTAAAATCTATAGACAAATTTCATGAATTAATTATTTAGAACACAAAACTAATAAATATGTCAGAAACAAAATATACAAATTTGCAGGACATCAGGAGCCTCTCTTGGTAGTGTGAAACATCACAAGCTAGCTTGGTTTGAGTTCATGGTGAGACATGATTTAATTGCAAAGACTGTGCTTCAAGGAACATTGGGTGGTAGTCGAAGAACAGTGCAAAGAAGAACCTGGAATGAGAACATCAAGAAATGAACAGGACTAAGTTATCATACACTTGTTCATCAAGGGAAAGACAGAGAAAGATGACAGGTTTTTTGTGCTAGTGCTTCGATCAGTAAACCTCCACGACACTAACAGGTCAAAGGTTATGTTATGTTAATCGTAACCCGAAAGGTGCAAACAGAATAATATTTCAAATAATAACAATATAAATAGCATAATTAACTGAAAGAAATGTTCATTTAAAATGTAAAATATTATATAACAAAAGTGTACATTTGAAATAAAATTAACAATATGTATCCCAAACCTTGTGGGTTGAACAGGATATTGTTTATATAAAAACTACTACTGCTCGTAGTCTAATAGAAATGTTTCATTAACAGTTTGTATCAGACTTCAATGGGGAGGATCGTTTCATGACCCGCATTGGTGTTGGAGGCCTGGTGAACCTTGACAAGCTGCGGCAGGCACATATTGTACTCAACGACATTCACCTGTTCCAGTACCATGGCAAGCTCATGTCTGGATCTGCAAGCAACTTGGATGAAGGCGCCAGCACGTAAGTGTTTGACTACTACATCTTTTACATCTGCTGTCTAGCTCTCAATGAAGTACAGGCTCACACCAATTTGCTCAAAGCCCTGCCCTTAAACCTCTGTTATATATAAATATAAGAGTAAATATTTGCTGTTTTCTTGTGTCACTTATATTCAACGGCAGTAGCTTTGCATATGTAAAATAATAATTATAGAAACATAAAACTGATGTTAACTTTTAGAACGGAATTTCTGTAAATAAAAAAAGATTTTGGTACAACGGGCCTTCATAAGCAAACAGCAATGAAAAAGCAACAGCGAACCAATAAAAAAGGAACTGATGCTGAAGTAACTACATTGTACTATTTAATTATTATGTAGGCATGTGAAACATAATTATAATTATTATAAATTACAGAATGATATAAAGTGAGTTGTACTTACCTAGCCCATTTATAACTTTATAAAACAAACAAAAGCAGGACAGAGATTGGTTTACAAAGTCCCACAGTGACCAGAAGGCAAACAGTTAAAATCTGACCACTTAAAAAAAATATTAAGAGGGAAAGAAGTTGGAACAGGCATCAGATAAAGGAGATATGATAGCCTGCTGCTCTGCAAAGCCTGCTGCTCTGCAAGTAGACCAGACAGTTGAAATTATACAGAAAGCAAACTTCAAAGAAATATTTTTACCCTTTAGGTGTAGTTCAGCTCTGGGGCTAAGTCAGTGCAAACACTTCGTAATGCTGGGGTAATGGGTTTGATCCCAGCTGTGGACTATGCACCTTGCGTTGGTTTCGACAGTGGTATCCGGGAGCCGACTGTCTAGAAAGCAATGGCAAACTACTGGACGTAAATTTGCCTAGTGAAACCACACAACAGCCAGGGGCTGATGGGGTTGGTTCTGCAACGTCCTGTAAAGGATACGCTACTAACCTATCAGGTGTAGAAAATCACAGACTTGACAAAAATAGCCCATGCAACCTACTTTATAGTTAAGAATAGCAGATAGCAGAAAACCCTAATGGTCACTGTGAAGAATCAAGTTCTGAGGTAAAATACTGAACTTTTATTTTCTGTATTTGAAATTAATGATGGCAGTTTACAGAGACGACAAACACATACTGCTACAGAATACTTGAGCACAACATGAAATCTCTCTGGGAACTTGTATGACTGTATCTGTGTGCGTGTGTGTGTGTGAGATGAAAATATCATTTCTAAGCTGCTGTAGTAATATACACAGGTGCACATAAATATATATATATATATATATATATATATATATACATATTATAAAAATGATATGGACAAATATTATCTCTGAATATGATGCGTCAGGTGTGGAGGTTACACAGGTGTGATTTGTAAAGGTGTGTTTATACAGGTGTAGTTACATTTGGCAGTTATCTCTATAAAACACTACACAATGTTGTGACGTATCCATAGCTGCTTTAGAGCTTCTATGCCTAAGCTCTTTGTTGCCTGCAAAAATGTGTCTGTTGACACAAGTGCAGTGGCTGAAGTTTCAAACCATTTATAAGTACATGCAAGTCAAGGGGAAATTATTTGTGTTGAGTATTTAACGCTCATGGATCTAGTTTAAATTTTAGTCATTGTTTTCTCAATCCCATGAGTGTGTTTTGCTCAGTCCCTTGTCCCCACCCCCTCCCCAACATTGCCTAATCAATCCTCTTTCTATATCTGGTTGCTAGGAGCAAAATTCAAATTATACAGTGTTTTCAATCCTACTATTTTTGTATTGTAAATTAAGTTGTTTTTCTGAGCTTTTTGTAAAAGAGTGAAAGGTTTTGTGCTAAACTATCTGGGTTTAACAGAGCTAATGGAGGTTTCAGCTCATGTTGTCCGACAAGGGAAATAATATGCAACTCAATCATTTTCATCAACACTATACAAACTGCAAATATAGCCTACACATGGCGCATGGTAGGTGGGAATAATTATCATCATCATTAGCTGTGCTTTGCCAAGTGGGGTGGGTGATCATGCCTCTCCACAATCTGTGATCCGCCCCTGCCTGTATCCGTTCATGTGCTGACACCTTTCCGTGCCATGACAACAGGCTGTCAAGAATCTTTGCGTGCTGTTTTCTTCTGTCTCTTTATTCACAGATCTTTCCAGTGATCACAACATGTTCTAGTTTTCCTCTTCTCATAACATGACCAAAACATTATGACTGTCTCTCTCTGATGTGTGTGATAAGTTGTCTTTGAGCACTCGCTTCTTTCAAAACATTTGGGTAGCTCTTCTTAGCTGTCCAAGGCATTCTAAGGATTCTTCTGTGAAACCTCCAAGGCCTCAAGGTATTGTTCTCTTTGTATTATTTGTCCAGAATTCACAGCCATATGTTAAAACTGGCTCTATACAACATGTGAGGATTCTTTTCCTAACTCCCCCCAGTGACACGGACTTATTGCAGAACATGTTCTTCATTTCATAAAAAGAGTTTTCACCTGTCATATACTGTTCTTTATCTTTGTGATAAACATAATATATAATTATTAAAAATGAATATCTGAAAAACATCAAAAATTAAATTGCTAGTATAAATTTATGTATGAGGCATTTTTAAAATGTAAAAGCCAGCTGTAGGAAAATAGTATTTAGATTAAGATAAACAGAGAATTATATGCTCAGGAGGATAATCAAAACAGACAAATGCCTTGCTGAGTATGTTTACCAAAGTGAATTCAAAAATAGTTGAAGGATTTGGAACATTTTCAGATTAATATCAGTGAAACTCCTTGGAAAACTGGAATATTAGTATAAAAGAGGCATGTGCACCAAAAGCTGATAGCACTCAAGATATTGACATACTGCACAAATAAGTTGGCTTTTTAAGTGTACAGTGTTTGACATAAGAGTATTAAAGGCTTCGATGCAACTAAGGTAATTAAAATATCAGTTGCATGACTAAAGGTAGATTCGTGTGTAAGGAATAAATAAAATGAGAGAATAATGGGATTGTCATATCTTCATGTTATAATATTTGATATTTGGTGTAAAGACCATACTCAACTATTATATACCTGAAATAGTTGTTTAGGGGTGTGGTTGGGGAAAGGGGGGGGGGGGGGAGGAAGGGGTTTGGGGAACCCAGTTGTTTCTTAATCATATTGACTCCATGTTGATTTCAAAGAGAAACAGAAGCAGATTATCAAGAGCAAAAACTAAAACAAGAAGCAGACTGTCATATTGTTTATGTTTTCATTAAAAGAAAGATATAGTTTAGAAAAAAATGTTCGTAATGTAGCGGCTAAACACTCACCTGCGGATCGGAAAGTCGTAGGTTTAGGTCCTGACGGAGCCAAACTTTTTTTAAAATTATTTCCTTGGTTTCTTAGTCGACCCAGCCTTTTAATGGTTACTAGGTAAAGTCCTGGGAAGTAAAGGTGGCCGACGTGATGCTGGCCACACAACCCACCAGGTGCCGTTTGGTGAATAAAATATAATTCTATCCCCATATGCCCAAAATACCTGAAGGCATGGAAAAGGATCCTTTACAATCATACGACCTTTGTTTGGTAAATGACCTAGGACTCGTAGACTCTAGAACTTGTATGAGTTCAAATGGAAGGGCACTCCTTCCAGACAATAACATCTTCTACTACTACCTTCTCAGTACCATCCTAGTCGACATCATTTTTTTTCTAAGCTAAGTATGTTAAATTTTCATCTTTTTCCAACTTATGGAGTTTGTATTCACATACTTTAGTATATTCAGCAGTGTTTAATTTATTTGTATACGTAACATCACTGAAATAATGCAACCCCCCCCCCCCCTTCCCTTTTCCAAAAATGATATGATTTATTAAATTATTTATCAGAAGGGATTAATTGTTCTCCTTTATTTCTTGGGTAATTTGTTTTATATTACTCGAAACATCTGGAGCGGATTGAGGGTGTATATCGAGTTACCACAATATTAGAAAGTGTATAAAATTACAGGAGTTTCGAAGAAAGACAGAATACGAAATCACGAAATCCGACGAATGCTAGGAATAAAGCCAGTCCTACAGGTCATCAAAGAGCAACAAATGAAGTGGTTTGGACACCTAACAAGAATGCCCTGCTACTATCTGGCACAGCGAGCCATACTGAAACGTTACAACGGGTATAGAGCGAGCGGAAGACCTCGGAAAACATGGAGTGATGTCATTGAAAACACCCTTACAGAAATGAGCATCAATCTTAATGGTGCTCTTGACAGAGCTTATAAAGAGAAACTTACCTGGTAAATGATAACCACCACATAACGCTACTTTAGGTAATATTTTGTATAAACGAACGTTACATCTCCCCCTGGCACTTCAATGAAGTACAAAGCTGAGGAGAAGAAGTATCAAATTACGGAAACATTTTTGAATGACCTGGATCAACACAGCCTAAAATGAGTGTCAGGAAATGATACGATAATTAAAGCTAGCCTGCATAATAATAATCACATCATCCAACAAATGTCAGTTTGTCTATAACAAACACGGGGATACTACAGTAAACACAGTATGCCTCAGAGCATGGGAGAGGCTTACTTAATTACTTTTATTTTCAATGTTATTTGACAGAACGAAAATAAGTAACTGCGAAGTAAATATTTTGACCAAGCCTGTCTTAACATTAAAGTACTTTAACTTGAGGCGGAATTCATGTTTCAAACGTTAGATTTGCAGATATCTCTACTGAAAATGTGTGTAATACATAAGCGGCACATATTATGAACATCCACAAATATGTCATGCAAAACTAAGCTACGACTGATCAGAGCACTAGTTATGAGTACATTTACATAGAGCTGTAAAACTAACAGCTGAACTCGATAGGAGATCGATAAGAAGAATTCTTGACATGTCATACAGAGTAAATAATAACAAACGACAGAGTTAACCGATCAGGGATCAGTAGGGGGAAGAAGACAGGAGACAGACCAAGAAATAACTGTATACATAATTTGACTGACTGGACAGACCTTAGGTGTGCAACCATGAAGTGCGTTGCCTCTGAC